TCAGGCGATCGGAGGGGGATGGGGGTCTACACCTCTGGCCGAGGCATCAGGCCTGGGCCGAGGGCAGAGCCAGCAATTGGAGGGGTCTGTGGGTCCCCTGCCCAGGCCTGATGCCTGGGCCAGAGGCATCAGGCCTGGGCTGGGGGCAGAACCAGTGATGGGGGGAAATGAGGGTCCCCTGCCCAGGCCTGACACCTCTGTCAGAGGCATCAGGCCTGGGCAAGGGGCCGATCCTGCGATTGGAGGGTGATGGGGGTCAATGCCTGAGGGCTCCCAGTATGTGAGAGGGGTCAGGCTGGGCTGAGGGACACTCTCCCCCACTCCCCCACACACCCAGTGCATGAATTTTGTGCACCGGGCCCCTAGTCTTTATATAAATGTTTTCATGCAAATATACACTTTCTTATTTCCAACTAGAGGCCCAGTGCACGACACTCGTGTGCTGGGGGGTGGGGTGGAGGTGGAGGGAGGAGGGTCCCGCAGCCCGGCTTGTGCCCTCTCGCAGTCCAGAACCCCTCAGGGATGTCTGCCTGGCAGCTTAGCAGGAGAGGCTCCTGGTATTGCCCCTATGCTTGTCAGCCTTGAGCTGGCTTCAGGTTGAGCAGCACTCTCCCTGTGAGAGTGCACTGACCACCAGGGGGCAGCTCCTGCATTGAGCGTCTGCCCCCTGGTGGTCAGTGCATGTCATAGCAACAGGTTGTCCCATCGTTTGGTCTATTTGCATATTAGCCTTTTATTATATAGGATTAGATTTGCTTACTCTATATCCTGGAATTCCTGGTTCTCCATCAGGTCCCATTAATCCTAAATGTCCCTAAAAAACAATATTAGAGAGAAAATAGATAATTGTTTAAATTGTTAAACTTATACTGCTATTATTTAAAGTTTAGATTTTTTATGGTACAAATTACCACTTAGTCTGAAATGGGAAAACGAAAAATCACACTCTAACTTTTGCCTCATTTTTCTTATGAGCCACAAAAGTCCCACAAAAAAAAATGTCTCTTTGGCTTACATCAGGCATAAACATCCTTAATCATATTAAGAGAAATGCTTCCAATTGTCAGAATCCTGCAGGTTTCTAGCAAGTTGTTGGAAATGCAGTTTGTATTTGTCAAATTTTTGCAGATGTGCTTCACTGAGTACTAGAGAATGAAGGCTGCTAGTTTTTGATACTGCCATGATGGGAACAGGGGAACTCTGTACTCATTGGTAGTTTCAGATGCTTTAATGAACAGTTTTAGCTCTGGTCAAAGTTGTTAAAATAGAAATGGTTAAACACTTGTGTGTAATAATCACTCCATGATTCCTATTATTATTAATATTTTACAGATGAGTAAATGACACACATAGGCTATTTAGTAAATGCCTTTAAACTCCTGAAAAGATGAGTCAGACAACCAAAAAAACCCACCAAAAAACAATGATTTAAAAAATGTCTTAGCTTTCATCATATCAAAAAGTTTCCACATCAACTCTTCTATTTGAGTCTCAAAATAAATAGGAGATGAGTAAATTAAGGCACAGAATGGGTATGTGACTAGCCAAATATTACACTAACCAGAAGTTCAATGTAATAGACAGGATAATAAATAAGAGGAGGTGGTATGAATATTACCTAAAGAACCCATGAAAATCACCTAAATTGATTAAAGTGAATGTAAAGTCAAAATATAAAAAGAAGTAGATTTCTTACATAGCACCAGTAAGGTGTAATGGAAAAAGGATTACATATAATAAAATCCTTAAGAAACCAGCAATAAACCTAACAAGAAAGGTATAAGAACAGAGATAAAGAAAATAAAACTTTATTGAAGGATATATAATAAGATATGAGTAATGGAAAGACATATGGTATTTTTCTATTGAAAGATTAAATATTAAAGGAACTTGAACTGATTCTAAAGTTTACATGAATCATAGTTAAGAGCCAAACTTTTCAGAAAAATGAATTATGGAGTATTTGTCTCAAAAGATACTGCAATAATATAATAATTTAAATAATGTGGTATTGACTCCCAAATAAACTAATGATTGGGGGAAGAAAAGCGAGAGAAGAAAAGCAGACCAAGGGATATTTGAGAGTTTAGTTTATGGTAAGGGTAGCATTTCAGAAAAGTGGGAAATTGACTGCTTGTTTATTAAACGGTGTTGATAATTGGCTGTCTTAATTTGAGCAAAAAGAAAAAATCAGTCCTTTACAATTACTATCATAGTAAAAATGTATGCTTTGAAGAATTAAGGGTGAAAATAAAGCTATAAAAATATTACAAGAAAGATATGGAAGAATATTTTTATACACTTTAGGGAGGGAAGGCATTTCTAACAAATGAAATAAAACCTAGAACTATATAGAAAAAGACTTACAGATATGACTACATGACAATTAAACAATATTAAAAGATAAATGAAAGGGAATATATTTGTAACATATTTTTCAGCACATTTAATAAAATACAACATATAAAATACATAAGGAGTTATTGCAAATAACAGGAAAAAGACTGCAACGTACTAGAAAAAGATGTACAGTGCATATGACTAGGCAACTTCAAGAGAAAAAGACACAAGTTACTAGCTGCTGCCAGGAAAATGTAAATAGAAAAAAAATAAAATACACTATTTTATTTATCAAATTATGAAACATTAAAAGGATTCATCTGAAGTATTGGTGATAAGAACGTAAATTCGGAGAAACCTCTTGGGAAGGTAGTTTGGGAATGTGTCAATATTTAAAAAGTGAATATTTTTTTATAGGGAAAATCAAATTAGAAGAATACATTAAATGCAATACTCTTTGGATAAACTAACTTATGTTTATTAAAAGTCATCACATTGTTTAATGGTTTTGAATGCATAATTCAAAGAGAGAAAAATATTACTAATTCAAACAAAAGGAAGCAAAGAAGGCCTGGAGTAGTTAGATGGCAGTAAGGGACGGAATACTGAAAATGAGCGGGAGGCGAACCGTCCTCCAACAGACGAATCATGCAATGCTCTCCCGCAGGCCTTGGAGAAAAGCCTGGCATTTGTATGACATTTACATGGAGAGTAGGAAACACACATTCATTTTGTAAATAAGCTTATGAAACAGTGAGAAGATTAAATTGGATAATCTCTTAAGTAGTTTGCATCTCTCATGCTGTGATTTTCTGAACGGGCCCCAATACTTTGGCAACATAAATTTGCTTTTACAGGTTCAGAAGTATCACACTATTTTTGTTTCCAACATCATGTAAAGTTCTTGCAAAAGATGAAATATTATTAGACATTATGGAGATTTATCACAGTGGTTAGAAAAATCATCTCTAGATAAGCACTTGGAGTCCAAGCATATAAAGAAAACCCATTTTTGAGTAAACCTAATTTTCAAAGTAATTTGTCAGCCATGACAGCGGAGCTTTATACAGATGTTAAATCCTGATTTTAAGTGCAAGGCATATAAACTTTCCTACTTAGGTTAAGAGTTACAATCTGATATTTTTAAACTTCATTTCATATTTTATTTCCATTTTAAGTTTTTTCCCCTTTCCTTTTTCGTGTCCAGAAACCACTAAGCCATGTAAGTACTGTGGAATGCTTACAATTCTCCACATCCCAAGGAGGTAGATTATTTTCAATGGAACTATTGCTTTCTCTGTAAAATTAATCAAGGAACGGAGCTTTAAGGACACAGATACATTTCTTTTCCGTCCACAGTGAACTCAGGTCTGGAAACCAATCAGATACTCACCACGGCACCTCTGGTTCCTCTGGCGCCCTTAGGACCACTTTCCCCCGTCTGTCCAGGGGCGCCTCTGCTGCCGATTTCTCCTGTGGGCCCTATCTGTCCTTTATCACCCTACGGATGTCATTAATAAGCGAAAAAAGGAAGGGAAAACAAATTTATACTGGGAATAATGAACTATGTCATATACCTGGACGACTCCAGATAATATTCTGTAAGCGAAATGCTATGAATAGTAACTTTGCTTTAACTTAATAGTACTACAAACCAGCACGGATGATAATGACATAACATACCGTCACCAAATAGGTTATCTTAAAAATATAATTAAAAGTCATTTTGGAAAAATAATTTATAAAGTTATTTTGGCCAAACAAGCAGAGGAGATCGGAGTTACAAACAACCAAGTTTTTTTTTTTTTGAAATTTGTGTATGTATGCATATCTGTATGAATGTATGCATGCATGCATATATTGATTATAATCATGAGAAAAATATAGGCCCTATTGGGAAGCCTGTTTCTACAGAGAACTTCAATGCCACAAAGATCTGTTTAATCCAAAAAAGGCTTCAGTGCGCAGTTCTGTACAGTGTGTTCAGGATCATTACTCACTGGTTTGGAGTTTGCCTTTAAAAATCTGTAACATTTTCATATCATTTACATCCTTCTAAAAACCAGTCATCTTCTGTTTTCCATTAGGCTGACTGATCATTCTCTAGCACCAAAACATAGCTGCTCTTAGACAACATTAAGTGATATAATTCATTTTCTGAAAGTGGGAACCACCCTGTTCTATTCAAGTACACACAAAGAAAAACTAAATTGTGATCATAGTCAGTGAGAACATTTTTAGCATTTGTAATAATTTACAGGCTTTCCCAAGGGTGTAGGTTATTTTAAGGGCCTGCACTGTCCCATTTCTAATGTTGATTTTAGGCATAAAGTTATGTATGCTGAAAAGAGACTTTAATATTCACGAGAAAGAATGGCAACTAAAATTCACTTTATTCATTTTTCTTAACCTTTTATTACCCTTATACTGTTCCCAAATTATGAGAAAGATGTACTGGGTGTATATTAGCAGAAATGATAGAATTGGGATTTGGGAACTAGAATATGATGTGATTTGAAGTTAAATATAGTAAAAGTATTCAGGTTTAGAAGTATCACGCAACCCTTGTTTCCAAAAGTTCATGCAAAAAATGAAATGTTATTAGACATTATGGATTTCAGTACAATGATGTAGTATAGAGCTGATGTAGTACAATGGAAAAATCATTTCCATGCCTCACCAATACTTGAATAAATTACTGACCCCACATAGAGATGAACTTTTAATTATGATGTACTAAAATTTTAAAAATATGCAATTTTTTAAATAAAATATGAAGGGAGCAAATGAAGCATTTTTCATTTGTGTTTCTTAGTTAATATATATAAAAATATAAAACCAATTATTAACCTTTTCAATTAAAGAAACATATTAATAATCTAGAAATAATTCTAATCATATTTCTTTTTCTAAAACATTTTACTGACATTGTTACTAAATAGCCCACATGGTATATTATTTTCCTTTTCTGGCTTATGGGTCTACTAAAGAATTTTTGGCAAGCAGAAGGAAAGGCAAATATCTTTCTAGAAACTACAAAGTGGAAAATTTGCCTTCATATAATTTAGAGGAATTAGTACTCCTAAGAGAAATTAAGTATGAATTTATACAAATGTACTTTTTTAAGGTAAATATATATCTTTATTACTTTATATATCATGCAAATAAAACCACAGCATTCTATGGGGCTTTGAGCACATCAGAGGAAAGAAAACAAGCATAAAATGATGTAAAAAAATTTACCTTTTTTCCCGAATGACCTCTCTGTCCTGGAATTCCCACAATTCCTTCAGGTCCCTGAATATTCAATATATATATAAAAAGTAAGGAATTGTTATAGAAAGTACTAGATAGGATGTTTAAATACTTATATTACATAATTATTGAATTGAAGATTAAGTAAAGATGAGAGTTACTTTTCCACAATATTATGTTTGGCTAATAATCTAAAAAGAGGTCATGATGACTTAGAGGCACAGCTGTTACTAGTGAGTAAAATTCACATATACAGACTGGCCAAGATAGACAAAATTAAACAGTTATTTATTTATTAGAGGAAGAAAATTACTTGGTTTCAGCATACACATTTTGATTAGCAAGAATATAATTAAAGTGAATCCAAAGGCATCATTTCAGCATCTCTATGAGGTAATGTGGTTCAACATCATATTGAATGTATAGGGTTACAAAATATATCTAATCATGGTCAAGGAGAACTCAACATTTCATTGGAGTAGAGGATTAAAGAGAAATTCTTTGATCTGTGGGATGAAAAGGGAGGGAAATACATGGAAGGAAAGGAGGGAGTCATAGTAAACTGTTTAAAACAATATTTCATTTCATCCTACTTTGTTTAGACAAAAGTAGACTAAAAGTTCAATATACACTCTTATGTTTAGTAGAAAGTAAATAAAATATTTTAGATGTCATGTGTGTTTGCAGGTCAACAATGAGATCCACAGTAAGCCAGGTTGCAAGTCCTAAAATGGCTAATAATTAATCACCGTATTCTTTGTATCAGTTGGAAATGAAAATGGAAATCTCAAACTTGTGTCCCAAAGCTTGGCAAACTGCAAAAATGATGTAGACAAGAAATAAATTGTGGTTTACCACTGTGCTATGTAGGCTCTTGATAAATATTTGTTGAACGAATAAACAGATACCTAAGGAAATGACTCATGTCCTATGCCCCTGAACAAACGCTCTTCTAGTCCCAGAAAGTCACTTATTTTAGAGGCCAAAGTGGTTAAGTTCTATTGCTGTAGTTCTAGCTGCATCCAGAGGTTGAAATTATAGTTGCACTAATCTGAGACTTCTTTGTGGCTAATACAAACTTTTAAAATGAGGCTGATTAACTGTCACAGAGGTCAATGGTGTGAGCTTTTAAAAGTCAGGCTGCTGCAGATGCATATTCTGGCTCTGTCATCACAGGCAGATTATTTAACTTCTAAAGGCCTCAGTTTCCTGTTACATAAAAGGGGTGTAATACTAATTGTTCAAAGGGTAACTAAGATTAAGTGAGATGATGCATTTGAATCTTAGAGAGGACCAGACATACTGAAGAGCTCAACAATGGAGCTAGCTACTCAGAACCTTTTGTATGTTTGGGTGAGAAAAGAGGTTGTATTCTATACTGCATTTTTTCCTCTTATTATTAAGAGAAAGGTCTCCCCTGGTTCTTTTGTTCATTTTTTTCCCCTTCTAAAGATAGGTTTTTTTTCTTTCTTTTCTTTTTTGGAGGGATTATTAAACTTCCACTGATATTAGTTGGTTCATTTTAGTGCCTGTTCTGAAATACATAAGTAATATTTTGCTATAAAATGTTGCCTTTTAAAAGTGAGCATGACTACAACCATTTTGTGTATTTATTTATTTATTTAAATATATTTTATTGATGTTTTACAGAGAGGAAGGGAGAGAGATAGAGAGTTAGAAACATCGATGAGAGAGAAACATCAATCAGCTGCCTCCTGCACATCTCCCACTGGGGATATGCCCGCAACCAAGGTACATGCCCTTGACCAGAATCGAACCTGGGACCCTTCAGTCCACAGGCCGACGCTCTATCCACTGAGCCAAACCGGTTTCGGCCATTTTGTGTATTTAGAGGTTTGCAGAGCAGACTGGAAAAATAGCAATGTTTTCTACAATGTGCATGTTTTAATAGATTTCTTTAATAATTACAAAAATGAGTGCGTTTATATAAAAATCACATTGAAAGAGAATAGCTGACTTGATGTTCAGTCTACTCATAAAATAGAGGATGGAGTTGGGACTTCCTATTGATTATTTAAAACGTTGTGTAAGTAGTTGTATTGTCTCAGAAGTAACTCATCACATCTATTTTTAACTATTCTATTGAAATATAATTCATGTACCATATTATGACTTTAAAGTGTACAATTCAATGGTTTTTAGTATATTCCAAGTTCTGAAGCCATCACCAAAGTAAATTTTAGAACATTTTTTATCACCCCCAAAAGAGGCTCAGTACCCATAAATAGTCACTTCCCTTTTACTCTGAATACCTCCAGCCCTACGCAACTACTAAACCACTGTCTGTCTCTATAGATTTGCCTATTTGGGACATTTTATGTAATATGTGGTCTTTTATTACTGGCTTCTTTCACTAGGAATAATGTTTTCAAGTTCATCAGTATTATAGCATGTATGAATAAATCCCTCCTTTTTATTGCCAAACTAGAGGCCTGGTGCACAAAATTCATGCATGGGTGGGGTCCCTAGGTCTGGCTGGTGATCAGGGCTGGCTGGGGCCTTCCTGCTGGCTGCTGGCCAGGGCCTGCAGGACAGTGGGTGGGACCACGGGAGGCTGGCTGTGGGAGCACACTGACCACCAGGGGTCAGCTCCTGCATTGAGCATCTGACCCCTGGTGGTCAGTGTGTGTCATAGCAACTGGTCGTTCTGGTCATTCCAGCATTCTGGTCACTTAAGCTTTTATATATATAGATTATAGCCTACTGTATGGATAGACTACATTTATTAATAAACATTGATTAATTCATCAGTTGATAGTCATTTGGGTTGTATAAGTTTTTATTTGAACCCTGTTTTCAATTCTCTTGGGTATACATCAAGGAGTAGAATTGCTGGGGCACACTGTAATTCCATGTTTAACATTTTGAGAAATTGCCAAATGGATTTACAAAGTGGTTGCACCATTTTACATCTCACCAGTGATGTAAGAGGCTTCCAGTGTCTTTACATCCTCATCAACACTTGTTATTTTCTTTTTTTTGTATGTTTGTTTGTTTTTTATAGCCACCCTAGTGGATGTAAAGTGGTATTTCATTGTGTTTTTATTTGCATAGTGAATAGTGTTGAGCATTTTTCATGTGCTTACTAGCCAACTGTATATCTTCTTTGGAGAAATAGCTGTTTAAATACTTTGCTCATTTTTCAATTGGGTTATTTGTCTTTTTGTTACTGAGTTGTAAGAGTTTTTTTTTTTTTTAATATTCTGGATACAAGTCCCTTTATATATATGATTTGCAAGTATTTTATCCCATTCCACGGGAGTCTTTTCACTGTTTTGATGGTGTTCTTCAAAGTATAAGACTATTGATTTTAACGAAGTACAACATATCTATTATTTTATTTTGTCACTTGGACTTGTGGTGTTATCTAAGGAAACTTTGCATAAGCCAAGGTCATGAAGATTTATTCCTATGTTTTCTTCGAAGACATTTATAGTTTTAGCTCTTACATTTAGCACTGTGACCCATTTTGAATTAATTTTTGTGTGCAGTGTAAGTAAGGTCCAACATTATGTTTTTGCATGCAAGTATCCAGTTGTTTTGCAGCACCATTTGTTCAAAAGACCATTCTTTCCTCATTAAACTGTCTTGGTACATAACATGCTTTTGTAATTCAAATTTATTTTGTTCTATTTAGTCCCTGGAACTTGTTTTATCCCTTGAGATAGCCAACAACACTAGCTACTATTAAACAAAGTTTAGAAGTTATAGACTGATTTCCTTCAAAGACTGTGCTCCTCTTCTGCTTGGAACCTTTCAATGGCACTTTGAATAAAACCCAAACTTATTACCATGGTTTAAAAAGTCCTTCATGATCTGCTTCTCATCTATGTTCTTCAAACTCATCTCAAACAACTTTTCAGTATTTACTATGCTGCTGCTGTAATAACTTCCTTTTAGTTTTACAAAAATACCTAGATCATTCTCACCTCCATATCTAGCTCTTTTTATTCCATCAACCTTGAAGGATCTCCCAAAGTTCTTTGCATGACTGGCTCCCTTTTCATTTTTCAGGTCTCAACTTAATCTTCCCTTACCCAAGAAGGCTTCTCTTACTGCTCTAGTGGAAACACGCTTCTCTACCTTTAACTAGTCAGCTTCCCTTCCTGTAAGCAGTTATTCCTTTTCAATACTCTGTTTATTTCTATCATCGCATTTATCACAGCCTGCAATGATCTTGTCTATTGTTAGACTTCTCCACGATATTAGAAAAATCTGAGATCAGGATCTTGCTAATCTTGTTCCCCTTGGTATTCACAATGCTTATTGAAGCAAAGTTCTTGGTTCATATAAGGCATTCATAAACTTTGTTTTCAATTAATGAATAATCAAATATATTTAATAGAGTCCCAGTTTATAAGGCTAATAATAATTGGAAACATCTAAGCTAATGTTTTTTTTAAAAGCCATAGAACACTTTTCTTTCAAAGAAAGCCTAAACAGAAGCTAATATGTTAAATATATATTCCAGGATCTTTGAGGACTCGAGTAGGAATAGGAGGAACAGGAGCCCATTCAGCATCCTCCCTGACACAATTATCTTGGGAGGTTCTGCATATCTCCAACCCCTTTCTTATATGTAATGAATAAACTGAGAAACTAAAGAATGATTTGCCCAACAATGTACAGCTCTTTAGTGGAAGAGCAGGGATTTGAACAATCCTTGCATAGTGGCCATTGTAGGGTTCCTTCTATTTCTGAGTTACTCTATGGCATAACTGTTCAAAACAAACAAGCCTAAGACCAAAGTCATAGAATCTTTCAGAACTTAAAGATTTATATTATCCTTTACTCCTTAATGACACTGACCTCATATTTCCAAACTGATTATTTCTGGGGTTTCCAAGGAAGCAGTCTCAGAAAAAAGAGTCATGCATACCTTACTATTCTTCTTAAGGTAGCCACCTGTACCTAATATCTTTACCACTTCAAACAGATAGGAAAACTCACACTTCAATAAGTCCAAACAAGTTATGTCTTAAAGGAATAAAACAAGGCCATTTCATTTTTATACATTCAAT